ACATGATTCCATCAGGAACTCAACAATCTCATCTAAACTCAAGAACTGAAGCAAATTTCCATAACATAATTCAAGATCATCATACTTTCAACTTTCTAGAACGAATTTAACACTGAAATTAACATGATTGGCGTGTGGGTGAACAAACCCAACACTATGGAAGCTTACATACCTGAAAGAACCATCTTTTTGAAGAACTTGAAAGAAAATCTTGGAAGATGAACCCTAGCCTTAGCGTTTCTTGAATTCCTTGAGCGTAGAATTTTTTGAGTGGATGAGAGGGTTTGATTTTGTGAAAATTGATTTTCTATATGTTTAGGGAAATTTAGATGACCTCTTAAGGGTTTTTAGAGCTAAAATACCCTTTAATAAATAAATAAAACGAGTTGGGAGTCGGAATGATATTTTACCAGGCAGTGAGGTCTGTATTGGCTCTGTAACGTGGAGCCATCGCAGAGCTTCTGCCAGGTTTGAGCATCTTTAGTAAATAAGTCATAACTTTTTACTCAGAGCTCGGAATTTAGAAAACTTGGTGGCGTTGGAAAGAGGACTTGAAGGGCTTTAATTTTTTTATCTTCTAACTCATCCTGTACTAGGAGTTATAGTCGTTTGAAGTTGACCCAAAGCTTAAGAAAAACTTGGAATTACTTGAATGAACTCTCTTTAGTTCTTGTTGGAACTCAAGGTGCTACATCTAGTGACCTTAACACTTAGGAAAAATTTAAATTCCTTAGTAAAAAGTTACTCACTACAAAGAACGGTTCGAGTCTTAGCTCAAAAAATTTCCGGGGTGTTATAGGTATTAGGAACTCAAAATACAAAGATAAAAAAACAAATTTCTCCTAGCAAAGCTAGCATGGAGAGCATACAAAAAAATAAGAACCTAACTATAAACAAATCTCTCTTAAATGGGATCAAGTTTTTCCTTTCTTCTTGTGGAACATCACCATAATTTAAAACCATTATTAGAAATAGCCATAGATTGTGCGGACATTATTAAATACTTAAAGGAAGATTGTCTGCGTGTAGGGATCTAATGTGGCGACTAGAGAACCCTCCGATGCAGCATAGCTACCGGGAAATGAATAAAGTGGCAGATATTCTAGCTAAAGAGGGTGCAAAGTTGGAATCGCTGAACTTCTTTTTATCATGGACAATTCCACCATTGTTTGTCATCGGGATTCTAGAAGCAGAAAAAGCCGGAACTACTTTTGCTAGGCATGATAAGCCAAATAGTACTAGTATATATTGTTATCTACAATTAACACCCTCTACTAACTTTAGCAATAGTACTGCTCTGCCACTTCATTGTAATGACGCATATTAAGTTATAATATATTAAATCTTTTTGTACCAAAAAGAAATGATGTATTCTTTTCTAGACTACATATTATTGATGATTTTTCATAAGGTAACATACCTAAGTGTTGTAATAACTTTTCCTATTCCTTCTGATGTAACATAAAAATGAAAAGGACTTGTGAATTGTTGTGACTTAAGGATTGGTAAATGCACCACGCGAAGCACAAACATATTTACTAGTATATATATATATATATA